ATGGCTAATATGCCATTAGAGAAACAGAGATAGAGGTGTGCATATCACTGTGCTGGTTGTAACATTTGGCTAATATGTACCTACAGGAACTATGAATATGTCTGTTTTCTAACTGTCCAGCATTCAGTCCCATATAGCATGGCTGGTCTGACAGATGTTCTATAAACTTAGCTTTCAATTCTAGCAAAATATGATGATCACACTATATATATGCTTAACAAAACCCTCCATTTTACCTATCGTGCTTTGATTCTATGAGCCACATCATCTCCATTCTCCCCTTGTATATATGGATGATCGAGTACATGCTAGATAGTGATTTTGAAATGTAAATGCTCTCAATTTGTTTGTGATATATATCATCAGTTTTATTAGTTTTCTGCATCTTTTTTCCTGTTCTTCATTGTAGTTATTTTATAAACCTTCTGGAATGATGCAGATCATGATGGCGAATGTCATAAGTTTGCTTTTAAATATGGATGATCTTTATCTCAATTAGTCTCATTGTGCCTCACCATGTAGCTATTCTGAATCACATTACACATGTGCTTCAGAGCAAACAGATCTAACAAGTGAAGAGGGAAACAGATTAGTTGTATCTTTCACGGGGAAAGTACTTGATATATTACATCACTGTCTTCCTTCAACTATAAGTTTATAACTGAACTAGATCATGCTCTAAGTGATGGCGTAAGTAGGGGTGGAAGACAAGCATTGGAGTGGAGAGCATCAATTGCTAAACATTTCATTGAAGAGTGCGAATGGCAGTTGTGAATTTTGCAGCGTCTTTAGAGCCATCTTCCGGCCCCTCATTACGTCCCGCACCATCTAAGCTACTTAACCTGTGAGCTACAAGCCTTTTCTTCTCTGGGAATTTATATGATGATCAATTGGTTCTTGTGCATGAATTGTTGTTTGGATATTGGTTATAGATCACTGGTTTGCAAATGGTAGTTTATCCCATAAGAAAATGGTAGTTTATAACGATTATAAATTTCATGCTTCTTAATTGCCGAGGGTTTTGGGTTTCATTTTAGAGTTGAATTTACCTTTCGTCTTCTTCAATTGCAACCGGTGGAAGTTGCCGTTGTTTGGGGATTCTCACCTTGCTTCTCCATCAATTGCAGTGCCTGTGTTCCAGGTATGTTGTATATCTACCTCTTCTTGAACGAAACCTGCTTCTTGAACGAATTTATATATGTAACTACTGGTTCCTGAACCAATTTCTTTTTGTTTTTGTTTTGTAATTGAACCTGTTAGTCTTTGACGATAACTGAACCTGTTTCCTGAACGAATTTCTATCACACCCACTGTGTATAGTACCTATGCCATAGGTACACACTCAATGGGTTACCTGTAGGGTAGGTCTACGTGAAGTGCCATATCCAATCACAAACTGATAGTTGTTACCACTGACAGATTTCGGTTGAAAAACTAGAGCACATGCATAACCTTTATAACCAAAGGTTTCAAACACTTCATTATATGCTCTTATGGATGAGTGCTTTATCTAATGAATAGACATGAAATTTCTCTATTGCAGATTCATAAGCCAGAACGGTTTAATTACAGATTCATACACATGATATTTCTCTATTACAGCTTGGGTCCAATGGGAGATTCTTGGTTACATATTCATAACCCAGAAGGGTTCAATTTCATTTCCTTTTGATCAACAGGAAATGAATAACACGCTGCTCAATGCATTCAATGAGGCTTTTGATGAAAGGTACAAAAAGCACTCTAATTGGGTCATATATGACGGAAGTTTAAGGAATAAAGAATACTGAAGTTGTTTTATACCAGAAATCGATTAAAAAGAGTACTGAAGGTGCTTTATACCACAAATCGATTAAAAGTCATCATGCTTACAATTGAAGGTGGTATTACTATTTCCAGTCACTGATTGCTGTCATTTAACAAATTGATAGATGAAGGAAAACTCATGGACGCTCTTGCACTTTCTGATCACTTACGTAATGGAGCTCCAGATCAGTTACTCCTGCTAATCATTGAATGGTTAATTAAGTCAGGAACCAAAATATGGTCCCAAACTGCAAAATAGTCTGCATCCCCACACCGACCATTTTCCCTGGGGACATTAATGTGGTAACCTGCTCCTGATCCTTCTCCAATCATAGTACAGAAACCATCATCAATAGCTGGATAAAAGGCTTCCAAACTCATGCCCGAAAGAAGCACAGCCCCATACTGTCATCATAACTAAGAACATTGATCTTATGTGAGACAAGTCAACCAAGCAAGTTACAAGCTAAAAGCTGATCTAATGAGAAAAACTTTTGATAGAATGCAAAAACTTAGAAATTGTTGTCACAATAAGGAGTCTCTCAATCGACTACAACCAAATTTTGATACCGTAGGCCAGAGAGGGCTGCTTCCCTGACATGGTGCATGCCAACTTCCCCATCATTATCCAAGAAGGACTTGCACAAATTACGGCCACCCCTGGTCGCCGACGACAAGACACGGGCACCGTCTCATAGGGGTCGAGATGCCAAAACACAATATGTGGCACTGCATCACCGTAGCCTTTCTCCTTAAGATTTTTTTGTAATGCCTCATAATCCGACTCCCAGCAACTACCACCAGCCCTCTGCGATTTGGAGGATCTGAGATATCAGATTTGGCTAAGCGTCCTTTACTTTCCATTTGTATATAATGGCAGTAGTCGTAAATAAATTAAAATTTGGGGCCACACTATTTGCTTAGGTGGCTGCACGATTGGGGTTTAGGACTGGGATTAATAGGTAACAATTACTGTCCTGATATCAAATTGTATTCTTGAAATTGGACCCATATCTAAGAGCCCCTGTAATATATTTAAACGGTATAGCCGGCCGGCTATACTGTCATCCCTTATCCTCACTTTCTATTCCACTTTCAGACCCACCACAGCCCCAAATTCACCACCTCGCCATAACCTCCCCTGGTTCGAATATGGGATGTGGCTACACTACAACAGACTCGAATGCTATGTCGAGCTCCTTGGACAGTGGATTGCTGCAGGCATCTGATGGTGATGGTGGATCAAGAGACTACGTGAGATTGATAGTGATACTGAGTCAGAAGTTGATGACATTGTTGGTAGCAGCAGTATTTCAACAGCTTTACCAGACGCCAGTGGGCAAGATGGTGCAGCTACTGAACCTTGGGATGATTCTTCAAAATCTGACATTGCGGAGCTTGACACTTCAGTTTTCCTTTCTTTTGATTGGAAAAAAAAAAAAATCCGAATGAGAAAGCTGC